TGTAATCCTTTATAAAAAGTCATTGAATTTGCATTATTTTTGTCAATTCACGTCTTCTTTTTCATTCTTTGCTATATGGAATATTTTATCCTTTTTTACTTAATTGTATCAGGTACAGTACATATTGCAAAATGTCTTTAATTGTCTCTTATATGTGAATTTTAAATTCATCTGAAATACTAATTTCAAATTTGTAATAAACATATTTTCTCCATTTTACACATAAAATTACACCTTATTTTTTTTTCCTTTGCATTTGATATGCAACAACTACAAGCTAGTATTAGAGAGATAGGATCAATATTTGCAAGTATTTGAATCTTGAAAGAAAAATAAAAGTTGCTTTTTACACTGGTTTGTAGCTATTTCCTTTCCCCACCTGATTAGAGAAAATCTATATGTATTGTACGAAAAAAAGATTAAATTAAAATAAAAAATTAAGCGAATTTGTAATTGGTGTATTCAATCATATCAAAGAGTGTAAAATACACTAAAAATTCATGCAAAGGACGCTTATTCTGAATTGTCAAACTTATTCTGAAAAATTATAAATATCTTGTTGGTTTTTGGCTTAGACCAATGCATAATACAGACATGAAATCCAACTTTTTTATCTTTTATCTGGCAGTATGTATCATTCCTCCCCTAAAAATTTATAAATTTCAATAGAAACCTTTAATAAGCTCTCTTAATGTCTGACGAAACTAAAATAGCTTTAATACTTATTGTATAATTCATATAAATAAAAACATGTCGCAGTGGCCAAGTGATATGGTTCTCGCTTTGTGATCGAGAGGTCCGGGTTCGATTCTCGTTCGGGAGGTAACGTAGATAGTCATTGTTCCTTCGCAAAGCGCCTAGCATTAGAAGTGAAAGTCATTGATCCTTTGGATATGACCTTAAAAGACGTAGGTCCCTTTAGCACGATATAAAACCCTCACTCCTCAAAGGCCCTGAGTGCCGAGTATAGGTCTAAATTTGAAGCCCTTCACCAGTATTTGTTGACGTCTCATATGAGTAAAAAATATTCTCCTTAGGAACTTTAAAAGAAGGATCAATCAATGATATAAGAAGACAGCTTTTTCTCTTATTTCCTTAAAATCTGTTCTCTGTTCTCTGTTACTAGTATCTCATAAAATTCATCTACCTTGCTATTCTGAAACCGTTCTGTTTATATGCTTTGTAAAAATGAAATAAAAATATATCAATCATCAAAGTCATTTTATGTTTCATAAGGAAAAAAAAAATTCTGCCCACAGAACAACAAATCAAATGGACCAAATACATACATACAGTTTGATTCTAAATCAAGGAAAATGATATTCATTTGAGAATTTGTCAAATATTTCAATTTAGTAAATCAATAATTTGGAAAATATGAACCATGTTAATTATTTCCTTGCAAGTTTCCATTTACTTAGTATGAATTAAATTGCTGTAATTGACTTGAAATTATCACTATTCACGTTTACCCCCATAAGGTTAATATTCACTGAATAATAGTCACTTAATAGTCAACTATAGTCAACTTAATAGTCACTGAATATAAGGTATTGAATGATTGCTTTATTAAAAGAAAATATCTTTTAAAATGATAACAGATAGAGCTGAATTTTTTTTTTTTTTTACATGAGGAAACCATGTACATACTGTGTATACTATCAAGGTTTCATTAATTTGTTTATATTTCTGATGAAGTGGTTTGCACAAAATTATTCAGATATAAACAAATGAACCTTAACTAATTATTTTCCTTAAAATATTCATATTTCTCTTTTATAATCTATTCATTTGGGGGGAAAATCCTTGAAGTTTAAATTCAAACTGCATAATAGATTAATTGTGCTAGAAAAAAAAAATCAATGATCGACGACAATAAATGCCAGCATTTATATGGCATAGAAGTCAAGTATGACAACCCAGGATTCAAAACGACCATTTTGAAGAAAAAACACTACAAGAAATAAGATAGAAATTTGATCTTTTGTTTAGAGATTGAAGTTTTCGTTGGAAATATCAATATCAGATTCAGTTTTATATTATGCATTACATTTGATGTTTCTTTTTTCAAAAATGCATTCTAAAGGGACAATGCAAAAATCTGCTTCTGTGTAAGGGATTTTACAATGCATGTTATATTGTGTACTTGGAATTCTTCAGCATTATTTGAAAGCTTTGTTTCTGAAGAGATTCCAAAGTTGTTGTTTCTTTTTTTCATTTTAGATTATATGCCAATATATTTAATTAAAATTGCAATACTTAGGGTTTTATTTTTTAAGATAAAGAAAGGATACGGATGAATTTTTAAACTGCACAGGTCTGTAAATATAAATGTTATAGACATACTTATTTTCTCACACGACATTTAAAGGAATCACACGTAAAATATGTAACTTTTTTATTCGTCATGAATATTTTTACTTTCTACATTAACTTTTGTTCTCCTTATGTGGATGCACCCTAGGGTTATTTAAACAACAGTAAAATGTTTTCTTTGGTAATGCATGCATAAAGGTTGCGACATTGCAGGGAAAAAATACATAACTCCTGTTAGCAATTTTTCCCTCAATAATTGCAACCGTATTAACAAACAAAAAATACCTTTCACTGTTTATATTTATATATAAACAGTACATTATCCTTTAAAGTGGTGAAATTAAGTTAGAGTTATATTATTGGTCCGTACATTACATTGACGGAACAGCCCATTTCTTAAGACATCTTTCTAACAGTTGGCTATAAAAACTTTTCCATTGGGCATTTAACAAAATGCTCTCATTTTCAAGATTCACTTGCATTGGCCTCTCTTCTTTTTTGGCAACGCCAATATTTTCAAGGAAAAGACTAGCCCGATAACTCTCTCTCTCTCTCTCTCTCTCTCTCTCTCTCTCTCTCTCTATTTATTTATTTATTCTTTTATTTTTTTAATTTATTTATTCTTTGATTTTATATATTTATTTAACTATTTTTGTTAGGCCATTATTTACACACTGAATTGTCTACGGATTTTTCCGTTTTTCTCGATCATGACAAGGAGCACAAGGTGACCGGTTGGCAGGGGATGCTCAACCCTTCATGGCACCTGATCCAACCTCTGATGCTTTACAAAGGCACTAAACATCGTTTTCAAAAGTTGGAGGGAGGAGTCGTACATTCTACGCGCCACTACTACATGACCATGTTTGCATAAAAATCATCAATCTGTGGCTCTCTTTTTAAAACATTTCTTTTTAAATGACTTTTTATGTAATAAAAACTTTAATCATTGACCGTCATTCAAACAAAACGTTGGTGCCACAGTTGAACGGGTTTTGATAAAAATTACATTTTAATTCTATAGATTTTCATATTTGTGGAGGGTCATTGCTCAGAATTATATTATCAATTCAGTTTGCAGGCACGAAAGACAGGAAGAACGCAAATGTGTTTTTCAAACATTACCTCAGAAGTTGCTTAACAGATGAATCTAGTTACGGTAGCTTGATTTTTTAAACTCCCTTTTAACTGCAGTTTTCAGCAGCAGTGATATATATTTAATGTTCAATGTTCTACAGGTTGCCTTTGAAGCATTTTTAAGCTACCTCACAGTGATATTTAAACAGTCGTCAAACCCTCTTTTTTTGTTTTGACGAGGTTTTAATAACTGTTGTAAAGAAAAATTAAGGTCAAGCTTTCAGTTATTTCTATATATCACCAAATTTAACTTATCCTTGAATTTAAAAGAAAAATATGATAAAATTTATTTAACCCATATGGCACAAGGAAAATAAAATTTAAACTTTATTTACAATTCATCTTAAGTTTTTTCAGTCTTAAGTTCTACGGTTCCTTACGAAAGCATCATTCTTTTTCTTTTTTGTTTATAATTGAACATTATTTTGTGAACAATTTTTATAGTTCGCTTTGCGCCTAGTTTGGATGAAATCTTTCTGAAAATTCTTGAGAGATTAAAAAATTCACAAAATATTATCAATAGAAGACAATGTCGGACGTTTTTCTTTTTTTAGCATGGATTTTACGCTTTCTTTATCATTATTACAATATAAGTTATCAATTAAAGGAGTAAAAATTATTGCAGTATGTTAGGCGCCTTTTGTAAAGTTGTTCATATAAATGAAAAAAAAGCATTTGTTCCTTGCCTTAAATTTCATAGTTTTCATATTTTTTAATCGTAAATTAGCACAAGGTGAAATACATGCGTAAAGCCCTTGAACAAAGTAAAGCCTTTAAAAGCAGAAGAGCTAGTCGTTATACAGGAAATTAAATATATATAACATGCTAGTTACAGAAATGCATTTATACAGATTACAAAATTGCATATATATGAAAATATTATACTGAAATGCTGTATACATACTAATTTTACTGTGCATTTATTCAGCGATTCTTGAACCTCTTTACAAGCTTATAAGACAAGGATGTATCTATACAACTTGCATTTTTGTAACGTTGGTCTTGAATCTTTGGAAAAATGTTTTAAAGTTCATATACATTTCTATCATTTTAATATTTGTGTATATTTCTTTTCCGTTATTGTTAAAGAAAGTCATTACGTTTTTTTCTAACAATGTATTAGCATTTTCGAAGATTAAAATCATCTGTATTTTTTTTTATATTGAAAGTCCATAATATTTAAAACCGGCGCACAAGATATGTTAGCTTGAACAACTTAATAACATCTTGAATGAAAGGTTTTCTTTGAGAAAAAAATTTTTAAAAAAAATTTATATTGATAAAATATGAGAAACAAATCCGGTATGTGTAATGTGAGTTAATGATCATTCAATTTTTTATGTTATTCTAATTACAAACTTTCTAGTGTGTGATCATTTAGTTGTAACCTTTAAAGTTCAAAACAGCTGGTGCATGTCAAACCATATCATTACCATTGATTGGAAAAATTATTCTCTAGCAAAAAGAAGCCAGATTATAGAGGCAGCTGTAGATTTTCATATCGCATGTATCGAATTGTAAATTATATGAATATATTTTCTTCACAGATGTTACAGAAACGTCTGTTGGTTAAAATCTGGATAATACACTAGTCCATAAAGAATAGTCCATTCAAAAGGTTAGTATTGATTAAATAACTCGAAAAAGCTTCATGAATGAACTTGTTTTCAAGTCCTTTTTATTGCTTAAGGAATATTTTTGTTTTTCCAAAAACTGTCATATTGCTTGCCATGGCCATTATAAGGCTTATATCTAAAAACATTTGCATCCTGAATGATATTATGAAGAACTTTACGAGTTTATTTTTTTAAATCAATAATATATATAAAAATTAACACAAGTAAAATTAAATTCAAATAATTAGATATCAAAGTAAAATCCACCATTCACAATTAATAATCACAAGCTAATTCAGAGAATTTGTGTCCCCCGCTTAGGGAAAAAAGAAGAGTATGCGCAGTTCGGAAGGGGGTGGGGGTCGGACTCCCCCGCCCTGGATTTGTAGACTTATTAAATGTATACCTGTATATTGAAGCAAATAAAAAATGCCAATATGGATATAAAAATTTGTGCTTATTTTTTAATATGTGTATAGAAGATTCTTTTTATATAGAATATTTATCGTCATAACTTTGTCTTTTCACATGCTGAATACTATCATTTAGTAATCCAAAAAAAAAAAAAAAAAAAAAAAAAAAAAAAAAAAAAGGATCGTCCGGGATTTGAACCCGGCACCTCTCACATGATAAGCGAGAGTCATACCCCTAGACAACGAAGGCACTTGATTATATAGCAAATTAAACGCAAACATTAGGTCATATATAATGTTTATATTCACGTTCGATATTGTCAAAATTTTACACAATACATGGTGTCTAATTAAGCCTTTACTTAACAGTTCTCATAGATGTAATAAGAATATAAAGTCCGCTGACAACCTGTATTATACGTAATAATTCTCCACATGCCCTTGTGCTAAAAATAGTGTCAAGCGACTTATAATACAATAAATAATAATAAAAAAAACGGGGCGGGACACTTTGAGAGGGGTGAGAGTTATTGTATAAAATTTCATTGCAAAACCTCGAAAGCTTCTTGAGATATCGCCTGGAAGCGAAAGTCTTACACACAGACAGTTATGTCATTCCAAGTGATATCCATATCCGTAAAACGAGACATTATGTTACATTTAATTATTTTTTGTAGAGCCAAAATACTTATTTTAAGTATTCAAAAATTCATATTCAATCTTTCATTTTACTCAGTAATACTTCCAAATTGTTATCTGTTGCTAGAAAATCAGGGTTTATCATGCTTATGAAATTTGTTAGTAAAAGAATATATTTCAAATATAACAATATCATTTTTCACCATTGAGTGTGAAATAAAATCCTAAGAAATCTTATGTTATATCAAAATGATTTTAAAGCATTTGTGAAAAATTGCATGAATGAATAAGTGAATTAAAACGATAAATTTCACCATAAATGCCCTTTCTTGAAACAAACACTTGATCTTAAATTTAATAATATTAGTCTCGTTTAGAAAATGCCAATAATTACATTTTGATTCAATATCTATTTTTTTCAGATGTTTGATACACGAAGGATAAAACAATTAAAATCAGTATTGAAATGGATAATACTGGTATTTTTAATTACCTTCATTGTATGTATACCATTTCGAAGCTCGAAAAATGATATACAATTAACTTCCTACAAATTAGTCCAAGCATATGTGAATTCTGGGATCATAAGGTCATTTCCGTCAAATCCTGTAATTTGTAATGAAAAGGATGTTTTTCTATTGGTTATGGTTCCAAGTGCAGTGTCCAACTTTGAACAGCGAAATGCCATCAGAAGTACTTGGGGCAATCTAACAAATGTGAAACCGATTGTTCTTGTGAAATTTCTGCTAGGGAAAAGTAAAAATACCGCACTTCAGGATGTTGCAGCAACTGAAAACCAAATCTACAATGATATTCTATTTGAAGACATTATAGAAGCATATGAAAATCTCACAAGGAAGTCTATTGCTATGTTGCGTTGGGCATCAATGCACTGTCATCGCGTTCGTTATCTACTAAAGGTAGATGACGACATATTCTTAAACCTTCCCAGACTTCTGGAAGAACTAAAGAAACATCCTAGAGAAAATTCAATAATCGGATGTAAGGTCAAGGGATCCACTCCATTTAGATTTCCATTTACAAAATGGAGAGTGTCAAGAACACAATATAAGGGAAACTACTATCCAGACTATATAGCCGGAACTGCTTATCTGATTAGTGGTGATATTTTACAAAAACTGTACAGTGCAACGCAACAAGTTCCTTATTTTATATTCGAGGATATTTACATTACTGGCCTATGTAGGGAATACATTGGCGTCCGTGCTGAAGAGCACAAAGGCTTTAGCTGTGGATACCGCGATAAAGGACCTTGTGGAAAGAACTTCAGATATGGAATCACAGGACATCATTATAGTCCATCAGAAATAAAAAGGATGTGGCTAGATCTACAGGATAGATGGTCCAACTGTCGAATTGAAGATTACTATTTCATTTACAAACTTGTTGATCTTTTTAGATATATTTTTCTTTGAAATAAATGTTAATTTTAATATTCTTTCAAACTGACAAATAAGTTGTGTGAGTTATTATGTTTTGATCATAAAATAAAGAAATTATTTGTTAATATTGTGCCAGAAAAAAAGGAGAGTGAAGTAGCTTTTTTTTTTAATTTTTCTAATTTTTTCTTTTATTATTTTTATGTTAAGATATTTTTTTCTATGTTTCACAGGAAAAATCAGAAATGTATCTCAAATCAATAGCAAAGTTTCTGTCATTCTGATTGGAATTAAATGGAAAACAAGACATAATTTTATAAAGGATATTGCATACCAATTACATAATTCAAATGTTCTCGTATGGAAGATTTCTCAGGGATCACAAAAAGGTGCATTTGTGGGACCTTTTCCATTAACGGTATGTATTTTCATTATAATACGTCTGCTTCAAATGAAAACATTAAAACACATTTGAATTTTTTTTCTAAATTATGTGGTTTTGTCTTCTTGCTCTTAGCTGTAGATTTTCCGAAACTAATTCAGAGTTTTATTTGAATAAAGATGTCAAAAGATTGTTCAAGTGTTTTGTTCTGAATGAAAGGTCTGGATAGAACCGGTCCTTCCACAGTGACTAATAAAGAATCATTTACAAGTTCATACAGATGCTTCATCAACCGCATCTAGCACAACAGAATATAATATACCTAACAATACATTATCAATGTTACAGTAATATTACTGTGGAATAATATTGTGTCTTTTTGTAGTTCTATTATTTTTCTTGGAAGTCAAATTTCGTTATTTTAGCTAAAAAGGCTATTTTTAAGTATCCTTTACATTAGTAAAATCTTATTTATTTATTTTGTCTCGTTATATTTGTGAACGTTTATGCAAAAGAGAACTTCTGCTCTTGAAATTTAACTAAAAAATTTCGCTACGAAAAAGAATCCGTCCATCTAAATACATGTTAAAGTAATTTTTAATGGTAGCACCTACTTTATAGCTTTTACAAATTATTTAACATTGTATTTTTCTTTCTTGTGTAGGAAGCCATGTTCTACCTCTGAATTGAAAAAAAAAATACTGTAAGATAGCGTCCTTTTCTTTAAGATTAAATGAAGATTTTGAATATTCCGTAAATTGAACTTAGACAATAAATTACACGTTCTTTGTTTTGATATAAACCCAACTGTTATCTCTCCCCGTCGGATCAATTCTTAGGATTAGAAAAAAAAAAAACAATATAGGTTGCCAATCATTGAGTTTAATCATTAACTATTTCAATCAATTTAATAACTTTTAATTTCATTTAATTTTAAAAGAACACAAATATAAGCAAGTTTTTTTTAATCCTTATGTATTTCGACTGCTTGATCAGAATAATGGGTTTTCGTTGTTTTACAAAATAAAATTTAAAGCAAAAATGATACGTTATTTCTAAAGTTTTTTGTTTTAACAACAGCCAATCGGATTAGAGGTGGCATCCGACCAAATGTATACACAATTAAAAGCAAGGGTAAAATGAACAATGTACAGTAGTGGGCAAAATAGACAGTAAGCCTATATTAGGTATCCCGAGTCACTTTTCTACTAAAAAAAACTATATAAAAACTACCTACAGTGACAAGTTTTTGGTGATCATTATTTTTTCAACATTGAAGGACAGATGATACAAACAAAAAATTGGATGCCTGAACTGATAAATATTTTTGGACTGTTTTTATTGTGATTGATGCAAATATTAAATTTCACAAAAATATTAAGAAATTGTCAAAATTCTACATCTTTGCAATTTTCAGGGAAAAAACAGAAATAAAAAAATCAAGAACCCAAACTTTTGACACACCTTTTGTACCCAAAGGATTTGTATCAGAAACCAACAAAAAAGTGTCAAAAAGATCAATTTTAGCATTTTGCAACAGCAGACCTGTTTGTTTAAATTAAGCATCTCTTAATCTGGCTTAAAAATGACCTGAAGACTGTCAAGAAGCTACCTTTACGCGCCTTTAATCCACCTTTCAGATATCTTAAATCATCCTTTGAGGAGTTAGAGATGGTTTATATTAATGGAAGCTTAATGATGGTGTAAATATTACAGAGAGGTAGTTTAAGGATGCTTAATAAAAGATGACTTAAAGAAGATCTTTAAACACTCTTTAAGCGTCTATGAGCCACTCTAAGCTAAGTTGAAAGGAAGTGTTTCATCTTCTGCATGCAAGTCAGTTGTGGTGTAAACGGCTTAAAGAACGCCAATTGATAAGGTAATTTAAGTTTATTATCCAAGACAGTGCGCGGTCATTTCATCATGGAGAATACTTGGCAACAAAGCGTAAAAATAGATGACATTACTAGATAACTCCAAATGCTAAGAATTTATCAGTTTGCTAAGAATACAATTGATGGTAATATTTAATGTTTTCAAAAGAAGCAAAGTAAATTTTGAAATTATCTAGTGCTAATACACTGTTAAAAAACAAATAATGCGCTGATTAATGTGAAAAAGTTATGTCATACAATATATTTTAGATGTATATGATTCATTCGAGTAGAATGCATTATTCTTTAACGCTATCGTTATCTTGACGGCCATTCTACAAAAGTAACAAACAGGTCTGATGTTGCAAATTGCTAAAATTTGGTCTTTTTAACACTTTTTCTTTGTTGATTTCTGATCCAAATTCTTTAGGAACGAAATGTCTGTCAAAACCTTGGGTTCTCGATTTTTTATTCTGATTTTTTTTGTTTTGAAAATTGATGCGATTCAAAATATGCTGCATTTTGATTATGCATATCGCTGAAAGGAAATTGGTGGACTGGAAGCAGGTGTAGCATAGTCTACAATTGCAATTGGTTTTAATTTTGCACAAAACACCATATCGCACCTATAAAACAGATACAAACAACAAAATACAGCAGAACACACGTGACATCGACAACATAGGATCGCTTCATTAAATTGCATAATTTTATCAACTCTCCACAATCACGTCGTCACAGTATAAGATACCTCATAACTGTACAGAATATCAAACAAGACGAATACAGGATGCTGGAATTGGTATTCATGCTATCGTTCTGATCACACAACGCCGTAAACATCAACTTCAAAGTCTCAAACCAAATAGTATGGCAACAGCAACACCGCTGAATAGTTTGTTTAGCTACTAGTCCAAAATGTTTATTGCAAAACATCGTTGTAGAGTTAGAGTGCAAAGATTCGTAAGAAAGTTTTACAGAAAACTGTACCGGGTAAGTAGATAGACTTGGTGCTGGTAGTCTTATGATGTGGAAAAGGGTATTATATACAAGAGGACTCATTTGGTTAACATTCGAAGGAATTTGACGACAAAACAATACTCTGACGATATTTTACCTGCACATGTCTCTCCAATAAAGAATCATCTTGGAGCCGTATTTTATCTGACGATATACAACCACATATGTCTCGTCTGACAAGTACATTCTTGCAAGGCTAAAGCATCCTCTTCTGCCTTGGCCATCTAAATCGCAAAATTTAAATCTCAATGATCATGCTTGGGACAAGATGGATAGGCATATCCACCAAAGACAACCGAATCCCAGGATTCTGCAAAAGCTGACCAAAGTTCTACATTTAGAGTGGGATAACATTCCCATGCAGTTTTGAATACACTCATTTGCGTCCATTATGATGACGTTTAGGCTTTCATTGGTGTCCGGGGGGGGGGGGGGGGGCAGATATTGATCTTTATTGACCTTGAACTGTCTATGATTGTAAAATTATTGAGTAATTACTACAATTTGATTGTATACCTATTGTTTCCCACATTTCTGTTGATCAATACATCATTCTACTAATTAACCTTAATGTTAAACGTGTCTCGAAAATTACTATTCGTTTCTTTTATTAAACGGTATATAATCCCACTGTGGGACGTGGAGACCGTTTCTTCGGATGAAACCGTATAAATAGAGGTCCCGTGTCGCAGTAGGTGCTGGCACGAAGAAGATCCCTCACTGCTCAATGACCCTGAGTGCCGATTGTAGGACAAAATTTGTAGCTCTCCACCGGCAAGTGTTGGCGTCTCCATATGAGTGAAAAATTCTCGAGAGGGACGTTAAACAGCATACAAACAAAAACAAATTAAACGGTATATTGCATGCAGTCTCGTGTAGTAATTTTCTAAGACTTATTTTAGTAAAATTATAAAGTTGCTCGTGAAAAGCATTGGGTCATATCATATTCCTTCTCAGCAGACCCTGCGAATTGACATAAACTGAATTTACAATCCAATATAGAAAAAAAAATCTTCCGTATACTCAGTTTTTAAAATGCATGTATCTACAAGCTTGTATTAATTCTTATGTTTAACAAAATAATGACGTACATACAGGACAAAGAAATAGGCTTAATAAATGTAATATCACTTGCAAAGGTTCATAAAAACCTTGAAGAGACAACGATATTTACTGTCCCTAGAGATTGATAATTGGTTAAACAATAAAACGGTATGAAAAATGAATTATCCAGATTACTGCTAAAAATAACATAGAAGTTATGCTATGTCATATACACTTCAGGGAGATCGAAGAGGAAATGTGAAATGGAACTATCTAAATGGTCGAGTCATTTTTTTCCGCTTTTTCAATTGGTCGTTAAACAAAATGTTCCGTCTCCACGAATCACTTATATGGCAACACACATATCGGGAGGACAATGCAAGCGCGATAACTCTTACACCAAAAGCAGTTCAATCCAAAGTCCATATCTATATTAAATTTGATGTAATATCCTCGTCATCTCTTCTTTAATTTTAATATACGGAATAAACAAATCAAATGTATATTTATTATTGACTTTTTTTAAACACAAACACAATCAACATAATATATTATCAACATTTTTTTCTGAATAGAAGGAAAAAATCGATAGGTGCTAAACAAAGCATTAAATTGCCATTAACGTATTGGGGGTTTTAAAACTAGTACAGCACTTACAGGAAAGTTAAAACAATCAGTTATACAGAATATTAGGGAATTGGCCCTGTCAACTATATATATCTCATTAGCTGCAAGGTTTGTCAAAACAGTATATTGGGGAAATGGGAGATGTCCGCCGAAGAATCATAGTCATTTTATGACTATTAATACCAAAAAAGTCAATGAACAAGTTGGGGAACATTTCAACTTTGAATGTCACAAATTGGAGGATATCACATTTGTGTTAATTGACCATAAGCCAAGAAGGACCGATGATCAGAGAAAAGGCAATGAAAAGTTTTTGATGGACAGGCTAAAGTTTTTCACCCCAAGAATATAGTGTTCCCCAAAATTATTGAGAATTTTTTTTATGATACATTTATCTAAAATGTTAGATTGATAACATAAAGTGTTACGTAATGTTATTATTAAATATATGGAGATAACGAACAGTATTTGAGCTCAAAAGTCCATTAAACATCACAAAATAGGAGCAGAGCAAACACGGACCTCTAAGACATCAGAGGCAGGATCAGGTGCCATGGAGGAGTGGGAATCCCCTGCCGAAAGGTCACACACGCCGTGTGCTCCTTGTCATGATCGGGAAATAACTGAAAAATCCGTCGACAATTCAGTGTGCAAATAATGGCCTAACAATTAGTATGAAAAAAGTCAGTCATCGTTTGAATTAATGATAGATTGTATTTGCTGAAAAGGTCATTTTATCGACCATAGAACTTACGAAATGATGACTTTAAACGAGACTGCTGATATTCTTGCATATTTTATTTAATCACAAAGTTCCATTCATTCTAATGATACATGAAATTTTTATGGAGAGCCTCCCAATATACAATATATATAATATATACTTCCTGTTGTCTGCTGATTTTCATAATTACTGCTTTAGAAAATAGAAAGCTTACTTAAGTAATGAATAGATAAGGAATTGTTAAATCTGGTAATATTTCACCGTCTACTATGTATTGTGTGGTACAAAGTATTAAAAAAGAAGAGGAAATCTGTTAAAGAAAACAGTTTTTAAGCGGGGTAAACTAGCATCAGAAATCAAAGAAGGCTTGGATAATCAGTAATAACAACAATAAGTGTAGTAAAATGAGGTTTCATTCTTAGCCCTACCAGCTCTTTCCCTCTACCGAGTTCTTTTCTATATCTCAATATGGCGTCCCACCTGAATCAATAGTTACACCAGTGGATTGCTCAGTGTTTCAGAAGTATCACTAGTTTTGTATTTTTTTGATGATAAACATCTACAATAGGCTTTCCTTTTTCCAAAGCATTCATTTTGAACATAAGCAATCGACTGGAAGTATACAAGGAAAGTGGGAAGTTATTCATGAAAATTGCATATAACTAAAAAAGAAATATTTAACTTTCAATAAAAAAAATGATTTCAAACTATAAATATTTTATTCTAAAAATATTTTGAAAAAAAGTTTCACAAAAAATTCTCTATAATTTCTGGGAACACTTTATAAAAACACTAAGTAACACGAATTTCATCAGGATCAACGTGAACTGTGTGATACTGTCAAAAAGGACTATTACTTCTAAGGAGTGTTGACTCCCATAAATGTACATCAATTTATCAATATCTTATCTTTTGATTAATGTTGTAATTTATTATCAAATCTTTTTTTCTTAAGGATAATCATTAAATTCTAGATTTAGTTTTTTTTTTTTTTTTTAATTTTATTTTATTTGTGTGGTTTTGTTTGTCTTTCTTTTACTTTCTTTTCTTTTTATGGCAAAAAGGGGGGATGTATGACCTAAATTGTCCTCGCTTTTTTAAAAGGAACGCAGAAAGCGTCGAAAGATATGTTTTAGTGTATATATGTTTTAGTGTATATATGTTTTAGATAAACATGTGACTGTACAATACAAATGAAAAATATCAAAATATGATATATTTCCATTGCCTAAGTACTGTGGTAAAAATATGTCTCTTTTTTTATTTGACTAATATTATTTTATTGAATATTATCTTCTTTCACATATAAATGTAAATATTAAAATGCACTGTCTAGTGTGATGGGTATGCCGGAGACATTAACAAAAGTTGGAAACTTCGGATATTTTATGCAAAACGGGCTTTGCCAGTTATGCAACTTATGCCACATTTCCAACGGTTCGTTAATGCCCCAGCATACCCCAAGAAACTAAACAGTGATTCTTAAATAAAAGAAAACAAACGTTTGTGACGCTTAATTTATAATTAAAAATTATCTCAAAGCATATTTGATGCTTAATATATCAAACAAAAAAAGGGGGAAAATGAAGCATAAAGCAATTTAGGACATAGAATTAGAAAACGCATTTATCATTTTTTTTAAATAATTATTTTTACTTTACCAATATGCTACATTCTAAAGAATAAAATATTCATCCATCCTTCAACCACTCTCTCCCAACGTCGTTTTATATGTATTGAATTATAAATGTATGCAATTATAATGAGAGATTGAAAACTATCAAAAGTGATACGCATTTGAAAGACAAAAAAGTGTTATCTATCTTATATGACTATTATTATTCCAAAAACAGAACATGCATTTCAAAAGTAACAATGTTATTATACTGGTGTGTCAATATTACATGTAAAAACATAAAACAATAAAACCAGCCCTAGCGCATTTTGTCAAAACGATAGAAATCAAATTTCATTTTGGTTAACATGTACCTGTAATAATTAACCTTATTATATTATTTAAAATCATCTGAATTTTTACTTAGTTTTCAAGCAAACGTAAGAGCTGATCAACTGCATTGACAAATAATATGATACCTCATTATTTTTAAAATGTTTTTTTTCACTACATTTGACAGCAGGAAAACGAAAAAAAAACATTTTGTATGTTAGGTAAGTTTTTTTCCCTAACAAGTGCTAATCATTATAAAAGTTATGGAGGTACACATAGCAAGGGATTTTCCTGAAATTCAGAACACAACCAAATAAAATCAAAATACTCTTTAAAAAAAGAAAATGAAGTGTAATCAGGAAAATTCACCTTCTTTAATTGTCAGAAAGAACAAAACAAAGACCTAACAAAAAATACTATATTATACTTTAGTTTACAATAAAAAAAAGTTCCAAAGTAAAGTTTCATAGTATATCAAAGTATTAAAGTATTTACAATAATTAACTATAATTATTTTTGTAAGGGGTACAAAATGCAAGAACACAGCAGGGAAATTCAATGTCATTTTGTAGTGATCAAATAAAACTTAAGGACATGTGATGCATACAAACTTTTTTTTTTAAATTATGAAAAAAAAACACCTAAACCACCTAAGTAAAATGAATAATTTTAGAAGGTTTTATTTCTTCATTCAAGGTTTCACAATAATGTCCTACACAATGATAAAAAGATGTATAAATTTAAAAGGGTGGCAGCAAAAAGGTAGCTATAGAATTTTAAACATCGTTGAGTTTACAATTTCTTAATATTTTCGAAATTTAATATATCATTTACAACCAAAATATGTCAAAAAATATATATTAATCAATCCAAGCATCCATTGTTTTGTTTGTATCGTCTGTCCTTAATATTGTTTACTAAATATAGCTAATAAAAAAGAAGAAATTCTCTCAGGAAAAATACGCTATCAGACGTACGCCTAAAATTCGTGAATCTCTAGAAAAAAAAACCATGATATTCTGTCAGCATTAATAAAGTCTTATCTGATTGTTCGAATGGATGACGATCTATTCTTTACTAGCTGGCGCTCTGAAAGTGTGACATTTTCTTTGATGTTTGAGTTGGCTTGAGTTAAATCATTAATTGATAATAAATCGATTAATCGATTAGCATTGAGCGAATAATCGATGTCGATTTGTTTTGCAGGTTACCAAAGTGGTAATCCACACCCACAAGCTTAACAAAAAGGAACCCCTCTACCTAATATTGTTTACAATAATTTTATTCTTTTACACCCTTTGGATTAAATCCTGATGGAAAAAAATTGAAGAAACACAGCAACGTTTAAGTACCCTTTATTTATTTTTTCTTTAGTTGCGTTCGAAATGAGTTATGTAATATAAGGAAATACTCTCTCTTTCTCTCTCTCTCTCTCACACACACAGAGAGAGAGAGAGAGAGAGAGAGAGAGAGAGAGAGAGAGAGAGAGAAACAAACACACACACACACACACAACCATACGATGAATTACTCATCTAATAATTCTATATCTTAATTAGTAAAGAGTTGCATACAAAGGGAAATAAGAAATAGTTCACAGAGTTACATTTTCGATTTTAAAGCCTAAATAAGTTCTTAAAACTCGAAAGCAATAAAAAATTCATGAAGTTTACAAAAACAACTCTGATACAACTGACACTCCATCAAAGCGGCCTATACATAGCATTCTTGGTCAAAAGTACACAACTCTATTTCATATGTACACAGCAGCATAATATAAATTCAGACTTAAGTCAAACTCAGTCCAAAAAATATAAAAACTGTATTTTTAGGCAAAAACAATGAAGATCTTGATATATATAAAGAGATTTATATATATAATCACTCGGATTTAAAGAGATGCAGTACTTCAGTGTTGTATAATACTTTATCACATCGATATATATAAGAAGCATTGTTCTTCGAATAATTAACTATCTTCTTTCACAAATATCACAGAATTGAGATCTTCAAATAATTAAACCGGACAGAGTAACAAAGCACTGTAGTAATCACATGCATAATAAACACACATAGTTATTTTATGTTGTTTATTTATCTCACCTAAGCAAACAAGAGGTGCACCATCTTTTTCTACCACATTTACCTCATGGAGGTATAGATTTATAGAAATATATATCCAAATAAATCAGCTACTTTATAAATAAAATCATAGTCTACAAATCGACAATTTGACCATCTATCTTGTAATTCTAGCCACATTCTTTCAATTTCTGATGGACCGTAATGGTGTCCGGTAATTTTGTACCTGAAGTTCTTCCCACACGGTCCTTGATCACGGTATCCACAGCTGAATCCCGCGTACTTATTAGCTGTTGCTCCAATATATTGTCTACACAAACCAGTTATATACACGTCCTCAAATATAAAATACGGAACCTTTTGTGTAGCACGGAAAAGGTTTTGTAAAATATCACCACTCATCAGATAGGCAGTTCCGGCTATATAATCTGGATAGTAATCTTCTTTATATTGCGTCCTTGAAACTCTCCATTTTGAAACCGGATGTCTAAATGGAGATGACCCCGTGACCTTACACCCACCTATTGCATTTTTTATTTGATGTTTCTTAAGATCATCTAAGAGTCTAGGAAGATTCAGGAACATATCATCGTCTATTTTAAGAAGATATTGCACACCATGACAGTGCAACGATGCCCATCGCAACATAGCAATTGACTTCCTTGTTAAATTTTCGTAAGTTTCTAAAATATCGTCAAATATAATATCATTGTAAATTTCACTTTCAGTTATTGCAATGCTTTGAAGGGCAGTGTTTGGACTTCTTCCTAATAAAAATTTTACTACAACGGTCGAATGTACATTGGATACGTTTCCCCATGTATTTCGTATGGCATTTCTTTGTTCAAAGTTAGATACAGCACTTGGCACCACAATCAGTAGATATACATCTTTACTATCACAAGTTACAGGAACTATTGATGATGGTTTGATGATTCCAGATCTTATGTAAGCTTGGACAAGTTTATAAGATGTTTCCCTGATGTTTTGTTTTGATTTTCGAAAAGGTAAACAAACTATGTAGGTGATAATGAACAATAATATTATCCATTTGAATATCCATATTACATTCTTTATCCTGAATCTCAGGGTGAACTGAAATGAAAATAGAACAAATTTATATATTGAAAACATTGTTATGATGAAGTACTGTTCTAAAAGACCAGTCTTCTATTTCTTTATAAGAAATCGGAAATAAAGATTAATGGGAGAATTGAAGTTTAGGATATGCATTAGATTTCTTAGTTTTTGTTCTGATTAAAGTATTTCAAATTATTTATTATATTTCGTTTAATTTAAAAAAAAATATTTATGTCGTCCGACTTAAAATACCAGACCAAACAAGGAAGTCATGCACAGTACCTTTATATGCTGAGTCAGTCTCATTTAGAAATAAAAATGGATATGTATCACGGTGACTGCAAACTTACATGAAAGTTTTTGAAAACATCGACATTATCAATTCTATTGCTTCCTACATGTACAAGTGCCAGAAATGGGCTGTTGGCTGAATAAAATTCCAAAAAGAAATATATTTGATATACCAGGAAAAAATTCTGTCAATAGTCACTTTTTGTATAAGAATGATAATAGCTGTTTTTCTTTCAATCTCAAATTTAAAATACCATGAACTTTTCTCCCCGTTTTATTTTCGCCCCTTTCCCCCTACACACACAGGGGGGGGGGGGCGAATTTAAAACGGGCGAATTCAAAGAACACAGTAAAATTTCTTAAACAAAAATGTGACTGGGCGAATTAAAAACGGGGCAAAATTGTTTACAAGTTTGAAAGGGCGAAAATAACACAGGGCGAATAAACCTGTATACAGTATATCTGATGTATAATTCTTTATCAAGATAACATTGATTTAGAAATCTCTTCAATGCATCACACAAAAACACACACACAGACAAATACACAGAGAAAGACAGTATATCTGATGTATAATACTTTATCAAGATAAAATCAATTTAGAAATCTCTAAAATGTAACACACACAAACACATTTAAACAGACAAATACACAGAGAAAGAGAGGGGAGGAATGAGAGGTGACGCTCTGATAAAAAGTAAACTAATAAGATATATTATCCCTTTTTCTATCTTCTCTTGATTTAGACATATTATGACTAGAATTCGGGACAGAATTTTCTATACATGTATGTAAATCAATAGAACATACGACAGGGGAAATTTTGCCTTGCTGTGCAGCATACTTTTACATCGAAATTTTTTGAAGATTTCAGGAAATTTTTGAAATCTTATTCTTAAATTCTGGGGTAATTTTTATTTTTCGTGATTATTATTAACATTTTTTAATTAAATTTATTGATTTGTAAAAATCATTTCATAAAATTTGCTCAAGAAAATTACGATGTTGTTAAATGAAACCGTTTAAATAGGTTTTGAATAGGTTTTTTTTAGTTTTAAACTTTGCAGATTCATATTGACTAAAATTTTACGAGATCAAGGATATGATATAGTTACGAAATTCTATAAAAACGATAAATTGTGTTCATGGCCATGCTCTCTCAATTTTCCACAGATTATAACATTTGATCATCCCATTTCTTTAGTTTCTGGTGTCAATATTTAGCATACAAACGCTCAAATAAGCATTTTCCCTGCATGTCTCTGTCCGTCTGTCTGTGTTTGTCATATACTTCAAAACATTTTGGAACTCTCCAAAACCATTTTAGCTCAGCTGGAAAAGACATACTTACAATTTGGTAAAGAGAATTGAATTCAAGGCTAATGAATAAGAGGGCTTTTTCTTTTTTTCAGGGACTTATTGATTTTGTGTCATTTAAAAATCTCCACAATTAATTTTTGAACCGGAAAAGTCAAATTTTACGTAAAAACCTCCTCAATGAACGTAGTTTCATTGTTTCAAAATTGTTCAAGGCATGCCTAATGTGGAGCCTCAATAAGGAATCAAATTTCGTATAGGAAAGATTACTTCCTAAGAGAAACAACCTTGTGACGGTACATATTGTCGTTTTGTACATATTGTCGTCGGCGACAATATGTACCTACTCTCACTGCACATATTGTCGTCCATCGGTACATATTGTCGCCGGCGACAATATGTACCGAGACGAGCCTTATTTTCCTCCTGCATAATGGACGACAAAATGTACAGTCAAGCACCAGCACATATTGTCGTCGGCGACAATATGTGCAGTCAAGATCGGCATATATTGTCGTCGATATGTTGTTTTGACGAATATTTACTTGAGAAAGGAAAAAGAGATTGACAAACACACACACACACATACACACGGAGGAGACAGACAGCATTACTAGCAATACTGTAGGAAGAAAACTTTTTGGTCAAAAGATTTTGTCCAGAATTGACGTACATCACTATGATACATGTATGTCAAGATACCGTAATTCATCAAATATATGATAAGTCAGCCTATTCTTCTTCTTAATATATACATGGAGATTGAATACATGTACATGTATTTTTTTTTTTTTTGTTCAGTAGTAATGATTATTTGGAAATTATTTTTTGCGTTGTTCTTACATATAGAATCATGTGCCGATATAATTGGTGTTGGGGTTAATTTTTAGATCACCTTAACTGGAAGTTCAAGTGAACTCTTCTGATCACATTTTGCCTGACCGCCAGTCCGTCTGTGAACGTTTCACAATTTCAGCTTCTTCTCAAAAACTACTGGGTCAATTTCAACCAAACTTGTCACAAAGCATCCTGGATAAAGGGGATTCAAGTTTGTTCAAATGAAGGGCCATGTCCTCTTTCAAGGGAAGGAGTTCAGAAAATTTAGTGACATCTTTTAAAAATCTTCACAAGAACCACTGTGTCAGAAAAGTTGAAACTTATGTGAAAGGTTCATTATGAAGTGCAGATTCAGTTTAATTCAGATCATGTCCCTAGGGGGAAGGGTGTGGCTACAAAAGGTGATCAAAGTTTTTCATAGAATATTTGAAAAAAAAAATCTTTCAAAATCTTTCCAAGAACTACTGGGCCAGAAGATACTAATGTGAAAGTTTCATTACATAGCGTACGTTCAATTTTGAGGTGCTGGCACGAAAAAAGATCCCTCAATGACCCTGTGTGCCAAGTATAGGTCTAAATTTGCATCCCTCCACCGGGAAGTGGTCACGTCTCCATATGAATGAAAAATTCTCGAGAGGGAAATTATACATACAAACAAACAAACAAAAATAAAATTAATTTTGTTCAAATCATAACCCCATGGGTAGGACAAGTCCACAATGGGCAATCAAAGTTATACATAAAAATATATACAGAAAATCTTTAAAAATCTTCTAAAAAAAACCAAAGACAGATGAAGCACAGGAGCAATGCCCCCCCCCCCTTCTCCCCCCCCCCCCCCGCTTGGCGGTTTGATTTTTTTTTGTGGTTTTGGTAAAAACTTGTATAATAATTATACTCTCAATTTAGTCTATAGCTAAAATTTCATAATTTATTTAACATATACAGTAACACACCTTTACATACAATTGACTTCTTTTTGCTTTTCAAAAACAATACGGAACCGCGCACCCCCACCCCCTCCGTTCTGAAATTTCTAGATCCGCCACTGAGAAGCAGTAGTAGGCCCGTGATTACTGATGTTTAAATGGAAGCATCTTCAGGTAGTACAGATTCAAGTATCTTCAAATCAAATCGGGCCTTGGGTACATTGGGCCACAATGGGCGATTAAAGTTTTACTTAAGGAATGGATTTAATAGCTACCCAATTTATACGGTATAAATTGGGTTGGGGCAGTTTACGCTTTATAAACCGCGAAGCGGTTTAAATAAAAGTGTAAACTGTTCCAACCCACTTTATACCGTATAAATTGGGTAGCTATTAAATTCATTCCTTATAATTTTATTTTCATTCATTTAGTGTAAGAAAAAAGATTATTGTACTTCAAAAATGACTTCAGGTTATACAAAATTTAAATGTAAAGTAAGGCGGATCGATACGTTTTTGACGCAAGTCATTGTGACGTAGGCAACCCAATTTATACGTTATAAAGTAATTTTTTTATCCAATCAAATACCGTGTTATAACCAGAATTAAATTATATATGAATACAATCATGTATATGGAAATTATCTTCTCAAAAAGAGCAAAGCAATAATTAATGATATTTACATGGAGCATTGCCATGCATTGTCCTGTGACATGTTCTGATGGACGCAATGAGGGTAGGTACACATTGTCGCCGGCGACAATATGAACAGGACGACAAAATGTACCGTCACAATCACGCTGCATGAAATAACATACGATACACGTCAGTGTGATTCACACACCAATTACATTCACAAAATTGCTAAAAAACAACAAAAGAAATCTTTAAGCAACAATATCTATGGGGCGACAATATGTGCAGTGAGGGTGAAGCACATAATGTCGCCAGCGACAATATGTACATGTGTAACTTTTCAGCCGGCGACAATATGTACCGATGGACGACAGTATGTGTAGTGAGGGTAGGTACATATTGTCGCCGACGACAATATGTTCAAAAAGACAATATGTACCGTCACAAACCTTTTCAAAAAAGCAAGATTACAGTCATGTTAGCAGGGAAGTTTCTTTAAATAGTGTTGATTTACATTTGTTTCAGCCATTATTCTCTAGAGCGGAATTTTTTTTAAAAATCGTTCTTTAAGAACACCATGTGTAAGTTTTACCATATGTTTATCAAATAATGTCATAAAGGAAAGGATGGGATGAAAGGTATATATAGGTTCCATAACCAATGTCAGTAAGTAAGCTTTTTTCTTTCAAACTCTCGTTCCTTATTTGTTTTCCATTTTCAAGAGACACGATGCTTGCTGAGTGTCTCTTAAAAATTAAAACAAACTAAGGTGTGAGCATTTGATAAAACTAACGAGCACTAGCTATGAGACCTTTCTTTATTGTTCAACAAGGTATGTTTAAGTGAAATAAACATGGCGCTGAAGAAGTTGCTTATCCCGTTAATATATACGTCTCTGGTAATCTACATTGATGATCTGTCGAAATAAAAAGTTCAATAATAAAATAAAGTATTCGTAGCTGTTTAAAAATATACTATACCTACATTTTGTGCTATTATAGGCAC